GACTGCGTGTGTAGTGCCGGGGCGTGAGGGGGACGCAGCACCCAGAGACGAAAGAGTAAAGGGAGGCCAACAAAGAAAATGGGAAGGACGAAAGAAAAAAAGAAAAAGGGGAAGGGGGGAGGAAGTAGGCCAAAAAGGGCCAAAAAACTCTAAAACGAGAAAAAAAACCTTTTAAAAAAAGGAATGTAGCAAAGAAAAGCAAAAAAGCATAAGAAGAAAAATCCAAAAAGCAAAAACCCTAAAACGAAAAAAGGAAAAAAACCGAGTACAGCAAAGAAAAGGAAAAAAAAAAGCATTAAAAAATACAAAAGCAAAAACCCTAAACCAAAAAGCAAGAAAATATAAAAACCAGTAAAAGATCCCTCTCCCCCCCAAAAAAGGCAAAGAAACCCCCAATCCAGCCTCACAAAGGGAAAGGCCAGTGCACCTTCCCTCTGGTGTTTTGTCAGGGCTGAATAGCCAAGCCCAGGACTTTCACCTGCAATTTTGTTCTTATGAAAAACTCACTCTCCACAAGCAGCATTTTTGCCGGGCCAGGAAGCCACTGTTGCAGTCTGCAGGGCACCTTTGGAGTAGGATGTGCTTGTAGAGGCCTCTCCGATGTTGGTACCCCTTTCCAAGCAATTTTGCAAGGAAGTGAGGTGTGTGCCTGCATTCATGGCTTCCCTGCAGGGTGTCCCTGGTATCCGAAAAGAGGGCTTGATTTCAGACAGCAAAGCAACAAACCCATGGGTCAAAGGTTCATTATTTTGTGGCTACAAACTCCCAGGTGACATCTGAAATGTACCTGGAGATGAGGAGGGGCATGAGTTTCTCAAATGACAGTGTATTACAGGGCAGCATCGTTTCTTCCTGACAGTCTCTAAGCCCCTGACGTGAAGTTTACTGGAAGACAGTGAGCAAAACAGTGTCTATGCACAGCCACAACCTGCCTCCCACGGTCCATGGGGCATGACGCTGCTGAGAATGATTGCTGTTTCACGCACTGCCAGGCGCCACTCTCTTATGGGTGTTTGTAGATTGTCTGGAAGATTTCAGTCATTTCTGTTTCAAACTAAAGCAGTGTTGGAAACCCTGTGGTTTTCCATGGGTTTGAGGATGTCTGTAAGTAGTTTGCAAGGCCTTCATTTTGCTCATTCCCTGTTTCTGGGTTGTGATGGGTATGGTTCACAGGTTGAAAACATGATGGAGGGAAAAAAACACACCTGACAGTAATTAAAACATGGATTATTCAGTAGTAAAGGACTGAAAGGGTACAGGAGAAAAATTATGTTCAACAGGAAACACTGTTAGTTTTCTTGAGGTCATTTTGACTTTCTCTGCTCACTTCAATCCCTAGAGCCCAGGAACAAAGACTTACTGTAAAGGTGTGTGATGGAGGCACTTGTGCAACCGCAGTCCTCACTTGACTATCTTAGTGCTTTCTTGACTTTTAAACAATTGTCCATTTACTTGCTTCTCCTCTTATTAAAGAAAGAATATGGGTCACCATATGGGTGTATACCAAGAATATGGGCCACCAAACCCAACATAGAAATGAAGAAGTTGGCTTCCACAGTTTAAAGTGCATTTGAGTTGACTTAAAACATTATATTTGGGTTAAATGACAATTTTTTGCTTACTTTTATACTGTTATACTTAGTCTAAGTGAAGAAAATACTGAAGAACAATTTATCTCTCCATTACTTTTATTGATTAGTCAAAATCAGACATTTCAAAGTTTTCTTTATTTTTCCTGAGTGGCCTTGTATGCCTGAAAAGCTTATTTTTGACAGAGCTGCATCACATTTTAAATAACAATGCTACTCTGTTGAAAAGGATCTGGTCTGCAGGGTGTATAAGACTGTGGTTTGACGCAGTGGTGGTGGTGGGGGTCTCTTTCCTAGAGGAACCATCTGGCACAGCCTCAGGGGGTTTCTGTAAGATGGTGCCAGTCCCTGGTGTGTTTTCTTGCTCCGTCCCTTGCTGTGGTTGGAAAGACAAGGGTGTGTGGAGCCGTGGTGTGACATGCATATACATTGACACTGCTACTGAGAAAATATTCATCTTTGTCTCTCAGCATCTGTGCCTGCAACATGTCTTCTCTCTTCTCCACCCCATGACTCCCTTTGCCCTCAGCCGGCACTAGCGTTTTTGTCACCACATGTGGACTCAGCTAATTGATCCAGATTAAAAAACTTCTTTCATTGGGTAGGGTTTTTTCTTAGACCAGCAGTTCCTCCATCACTTTCAACCAGCTACCTCCTGAATGCAAGTGCCAGCACAGAGAAGGAGACAACCAGGCAGGTAGAAATCAAAAATGAGAGTAGAGAGAAGTGAAAGTGTTTTTTTGACAGCTAATCTCTGTAATACTTGCAGAACAACAGGCATGATGGGAACCAAATGGTCTCAGTGGGAGATAAGACAGGTAAAAGAATATTGGAGTAACAAGCAGCAGCCATGCAGGTTTGCTCACAACCTTTCACATTAGATTTGTTAATCCCTGGGTTTCTGACTTGAAAGGCAAACTTATCAGCTGTTTGTGGCATGAAGATTTAGAGACTTCTGGCAGAGGCCAGGCAGAGGGGTGGCAGCCTGCCTCTGCAAGCTGCTGGGTGCTGCACGCCAAGCAGGGGAACAGCCCCTCAGCACCTCCCTCCTCTCCTTCCTCCTTCCCCTTCCGAAGTGCCACCACAGCTGCACACAGCACTTGCTCTGCTGGCCAGAAGATTTCCCTGCAAAAAAACACAGCACACCATGCATTCTTCCACCATCTTACGGGAACGTGATTGCAGTAAATGATGTAAAATTAACCACAAATTTCTAGTCAGCCCACAGCAGACCTAAGGTTATGGACTATATTCTCTTTTAAGTATTCAGGTGCTCTGCTTTTCTAGTTACTAAAAAGCTCACACTTAAGGAATCAGCGTAGTCAGCTATCTAGAGTAAATGTTTGAATGTGAACATTTCCTGTTCACATTCTAGGTCCTTGAATGGAGCTTAAGATTAATGTCCTCACCATCATCAAGGACATTGTGCTATGGATAACATGTTTCCCACTACATTCTTGCTAACAATCCAGCTGCAGCCTCTGCACCTGCTCATGAGCAAAACAACACAGCACATAGGGAGTGAACGTGGAAGCAAGGTGAGGGGTGAACAAGCTGTATTTGTGTGCTGTATTTTCAGAGGAAGCTATAGACTGCTTCAAATCTAACAGGGAAACAAGCTGATGGGTAACTGAGAGAAAGGAGAGATAAAAATGTACTGTTCCCACATGTCATTGCCTGCACTTTCGTCAAAGAAACTGTGGAGGCCTCTGCTACTTCATGTTTCCTGGCAGTCCTGTTGAGTACAAAGGGATTTTATACGGTGAAGGATATTGATATTTGAAATTCTTGGGTGGCTTATGTAGCAGTGACGCAAGTACACGCAGGTAATTAGAGACACTAGGCTTTTTGTTGGAAACAACAGCTTTTATGTCACTTTTTCTGTGATAATACCTTTCTTTTATTGGTAAATCATATGCCTTGGCTGGCTGTGTTTGTCCTACAGAAAGGAAAACTACCTTTGCTAATTTAAAGGAAGTTGTTTTGTTGTTTGGTTGGTTGGCATTTTTTGGGGGGGTGGTTTTTTGTCAGGGTTTTTTTGGCTGGTTTTTTTTTCCTGTATTATGTGTTGCAGAGAAAGACCATATCCTTTTCATTTTCACAGGAGAGAAAGCCTGGGCTGGAGATAAGACCTCAGTAAGTGTGACTGGGGAGCTGCTTTTCGGATGGGGCAGCCTGAATCTGTGCAGCATAATAGGGAAGGAGATTAGCTTCAGGCAGGGTCCTAGTTACCACAAGGACCTTTTCAATTGTTTCCTTTGCACAGCTAATTAAAGGCTGACAAGCTCAAGCTGGACTTGCCACAGTATCACTTGTGCAGTGTGTCATAACCAAAAATGTCTGGCCATCCTTACACTCCTCATGTAAGCAGATTTTTCCCTGACAAATGGGATGGACCCCAGGTGCCTCAGCATGGGCCCCCTTAGCCCTGCTGGACATCAGAGGTGGCCAAAGGGACAGTGATTCATGGGGCCTGCAGTGACAGAGCTGGTCCCCCTGTATGCTGACGCGTATT